ATTGCCACATGTCGTCCTGTTTGCTGCGTTCTGGCCAGTAAAACTTGAATTCTATTGAATTGTCCGCTTGTGACCAATTCTGGTGCGTTTATCGCTATCTTAGCTACCTTCGCGTTTCCAAGCCAATTTTCCCATAATACAAATCGTTGGCTTTTTAGCAATGTGAGCCCGGCGCGACCTTAACAACTTACGAAATAAATCAGAGTAGCCTGTTTCTTTCATAGATCTGACCCCCGACCCCCCTCCCCCCCAGGTCCATGTTGTTCACCATCGTGTATGACCTTTAGCCTTTTCTACAAAATTATATACTACTAATTATATCTGTTCAACTGAGGCGCTAAGCGCGCTTCACCACGTCCAAATCGTTATGATAGGATGACAGTTTTTTTTAAAAACACAAATAAATCTGCATTCATTAAGGAATTTACTTTTAAACGAAAAATACACTGATTCCGATTATCACTACTGATATTAACGTAAGTGGGTGTGATTTTTGGTGCAGTTCTCAAAATTCTGATAGCTGTACCATTCTCGGCCTATCCTCAGATAGAAGCGAAAAAAGGCAACACCTTTGTGATGCGTACTTTTTCGAGTGTGCTTTTATGCTACGCCAGTAAGTTTACTGTTATTATATTATCTTACACAATCAGACATACGCTGAATGTCTGAACGCTGAATGAATGAATGAAATGTTACCAGTGTGTGGAGTATTAGCTTAAACAAAGACAGAACGCAAACTGTTTTTTAAATCAGAATCACTAGCCTCTAACAAAAGATACAATGATTTTTGCGATCGTTTTTTTTTTTTTCTTTTGTTTACTTCACAAATTAGATTACGGCGGAACATTCAAAGCAAAGGGAAATATTCCAATAAGCAAACAACCGAACTGCAAAAAACGTTGCGTTCAATCGTCCGTGTCGCTGGAACGCCAGTAGCAGCTATCGTAACGGCAGCACGCGCCGCTTGGTTTAAAGCAGCGCTTCAGCATAGGACAACTCTACCGACGAAGCGATGAACTAACGTACCTTTTAATGAGAGAACAGATACTTGAAGCAATTGAATAGAGTAGTACCCAGCTTCTTGGTAACCAGCATCCATGTTAATTGTCCCAAACAAACTTATTAATCAAACGGGAATGTTTTTAGCGACCGACTGGATACATGCGAAGTACATTTCGGTCATAAAATTGACCATATAACATCGACGATACGGTCATTGATGTATGCATCAGCTATCGAGGCTATGAAAAATAAGGTCTTGCAGGATTACTGTTATCCTTGCTCCATTCATAAAAATCAAATCTGCGTGATCGCCTGTTAATGGTAGTCACCTCTACCCGTGAAATACTTGTAATCACACGATCGATCCATCGATCGATCGATCGATGAGGTGATTACCAGGTTAGGCGTATTCGCTAATCCGCATGCATGGCTTGAAAAGAAACCCTTTTTATAAAATCTTATCAAACTTGTTACGTAAGGGGATACATTGCCGTAATGAACCAAACGGAGTTACAGATGTATAAAATAGAATATCTGCCTAGAAGAGCAGAATCAATTTAGCATCTGCAAAACGTTTTCCTCGACGAAGTCTTCGAAGGAAACGGTCGTTAATTAATCATCTGGTCCTGCGTGTTTATCGTGTGAAGTATTGCGGTGAATAGCGCTGCACGAATAGGCATTTTCATAAGACGTTATGTCCTGTAGTATTTAATCATTGCGGTACTTCGATATCATTAACGAAAAGATGATTTGGGAAGTATCAGTAACCTTAGAAAAAAAAAAACGGACGGCTATAGTACGTTTCCAAGTTTGCACTTTAACTTATTTTTTACATACATATATTCTGTTGACTCAATGATGTGTACATCTCGTGACCTTTGACGATTTCTCTTAAATAGATAAATTCGTTCATTGCCCACCGATCATTTTCAAAAGCATCGAGATACAATTATTATTGTCTCAGTACATTTTCCATATACTAAAGGCTCTGAACATCGTAAGACATAACTTATTTTCGATATTCAGCTAATACCGTCTAATGATGCCTTACTCGAACATTAAGCTATCTGAATTGTTCGCTAAAAAGCTAGTAGCACTGGTATTGTTTTGTTCCATCCGCTTTTCTTTCCTATTCATCGCAGTTTTTTCATGGGGTCGTGGTGCCATTGCAAAATGATTCGTATCGGGCCGGTGGGTGGTCTGATCCGTCCCCTAATGCTTGATGCTGCGACCGATATTTGTCTAGCGCGAAAAAAGAATACCAAGAAACAGAGAGAAGCGAAACGAAGCTTTGAGACGCGGTAAGCACAGACATGAAAAAAGACAAGTTTTTATTATGTCTGCGTTACGAATAAAAGGAAGAAGAGGCACTTTTTGAAGAATTAATTTCCGTAAGTAAAAAAAAAATACATGAAAGATAGCAAAAACCCAAAAACGATCTAGTCAAAGCAGTTTAGCATGTACATGCACGCATGCAGGTCGTAGGTACACTGGGGGGCGAGCGACTCAGCCATGAAGAAACATTTTTCAGAGCATTCGGGGCGAAAACAAGGCGAAAACGATATCAACGGTATAGACCAGTCAAAAAATCACCGCAGACAACCTTAAAGCACCGAACCATTTCGCTTGGCGTATTCTCTATCCTTGAGCCTGACTCGCCCGATATATAGAACCCAACCTTCACCTCAGACAGATCTTTTGAATGTTTCAGATACTGGCACGCAAGGATATGTATAAACCTACCCTACAATACACAGCTTGAGTGGCAGGTGGAAATTTTAGATGTGTTTGGAATTAGCGTTATTAATAGGTAAGGTGGCACACAACCCGATGTGAATAGCGGCCGATAACATGGGTGACTTTCGGTCAAACAGTTCTCGGTACGGCACTCACTACAACAACGACAAAATAGGGGCGCAAAATTTTAGCGATCTGGGGTACAATAGCCGAGGGCGTATAGACCTAGAAGCATTGTTGACGTTGCTATAATCCTAACTGACGTTGATCTGTTCCGTGTGCCAATGTTCTGCTTCTCAAGGAAATCAATTGTACGCCATGTGTGCCTAGTAGAGTCTTCGGGAGTCGTAAATGCAGAACTGACCCTTCAACGATGTAAACGGTGAGGTTAACTCCCGTTAAGACAACAACATATGACCGCTGGGCAACTAAAGAAAGCTAACAGATGTAGATATACTACAAAGAGTGGGTTCTTATGGCAATGAATCTAACAATACTCCTCGATTCCTCTCACATGGCTGTGGCAAAATAATGCTCCCTATCTTTGCTGTAATGAGGTAAATATGCATGTGATCATGCAGGCTTCAATGAAAATAACCAATTATTTTACTCTTGGTAGCCATAGGTAAATGTACGTTTTTATCCATGTTATGGAACGGTACCAGTCTACATATATATATATATATATATATATGTATATATATATATCCATTAGTGTATCTTAAGCCAAAGATTTCCGATAACCTATAATACACAACTTATGGGACCTAGTAACACATTAGACAAACGTCCTCCTCGCTAGTTACACTAGCTATAGTGTGGACAATACAATCTATTTCTAACACACTGTTTTGTAAACTGCGTAAAATCATGGTAAATGTTCCTATTTGGTTCTTAGAATGTGCTCCCCGAAACTAATATATCACGCGCCACCAACAAGAACAATACAAGCTAATGCATGGTATAAATAACGTTTGTACGCGGGTCAATTGTACCATATTAGCAGCGCAAGGCGATGTGGGGTCATCTGTATGTTACCTGTAGGTATCAGCATCGTACATAGCAGAGAACGCTTCCGATTATTCGTTTGTTATTTAGTTCAGGTCGTAGTCTGAACGAAACTATAACAGACAAGATAATAAAATCCACGACAGGAAGAACAATAGCAACCATAAGTTTAGTTATTACTTTGTTATACGTCGGCCCAGCAATGCTATCATCAGACGTTATCAGAGCAGTTGCCATTAGAGCTCTGTGTGGGAACTAGGCTGTGCTACACGTTACTCCTCTGCAGGAGTTCGGTGGGGGTATTCACGAATGACACTTTTCGGACACCACGAAACTCGCATAGCCGAAAAAGACGTCGCAACGTCTTCTACTCCTTGATGAGAACCACAATAAGGCCACTGCATATGCATCCTTTACGTGTTAGCAGCTTTGTTTTGAGTTAGCGCGTTGTTTCCTGTATGCGAGCTCAATAAATGACAAAATGCAATCCTATTTTTTTTTAAATTTTATTCTATTCCATAGTATAATTATGGTATCTCAGGCGGGCTGACGCAACGAGCCCGAAAAGATGTCTCAAATCCTCGGAATATTCTGTTTCTTTGCCTCCCTAGATAAGATAGTCCAGTAAAACCTGATGTGTCAACGTATTTATAGTTGTAGTACGAACAGGCGAATTAGCATCGCTCACCTACATGGACTCAGCATTGGCCGTACTGTGCTACAGAAAATGGGCTATGGGAGCGACGCCTTATTGAATAACATTTTTGTCCGAATTGTAAACAAATTTTGGGCTAAACCAATAAATCAGTAAGCTATAATACCTATCTATCCATAACTTTTACACACATTCACATCTTTAGCTTTTTGGCCCTTAACTATAAAGAAAACACTAGCTTACTGTTTACTTTACGCCCGACAACAAACGCACCGTTCTCCCGGTTTGCATTATCTTCGCAGTGTCAGACGCGACAAAATGAGTCGCATGACAAACAAGATCGACAGGTACGACAACAATGACACCAGACCAAATAGTTGGGCACCATGGCAGAACCCAGTTTCAGCACAAAAAACGTACATGCGTATCGCCAACGGCAGCCAGCATCTTCTCTGGGCATTTGTACCAGCGGCAGTACAGTGCAGCCGGGCGCAAATTAATTGAGTAACCCACCAAGCGTCATGATGTAAGACGAGGAGCTCAAACTCAGATCTGCACAATTATATAGACCGCTAGTAGCACAGCGGGAGCGGCATCGTTGACGACGACCAGAGTGACAACAAAAAGCAGACGCCAATAAATAGAGGAATAGAGAGAAACAGAGCGTCTGCTGAACGCAAAAACGGTTGAAACGTGTCCTCTTCGCGGGATCTGACAGCTGCCTGACGCCAGTGCATACATACTGGCTGATCGTTGATCGATGGCGAGTAACGAAGAGGCCGAGGTCGTTCCCGCAAAGGGCGGTGCTGTGTCGAGCTGCTGACCCATTGCGAGCCCTGTGATGGTGAAGGTAAGTAACCGACAAAACTAGATTTCGCGATAACGGGGGCATAATAGCTAAATTGCTCCATTTTGTCGCTTTTACACACGTCGCAAACATCTTACCCGATGTACTTTAATACTGCTTCTAAAGCGCAGCCAATGTACGTACTAAAAATGGCTATTATTGGTGTTCTCTATTATACGACATAGTTTGTAACGTAAAAGTGAACGGAAGAATCTACGACATACCTTATTTGATTTTAATAATTCAGCAGTACACTGCGGCTTTTTAATGAAGTAGCGATAGGATAGACGAAAAATAATTTACGCTTGAGATTGAAGAGAGGAAAACAACGCTGTTACGTTAACTTAATTATTTCAACATTTCGTTAAGTTTATTTTATGGATTTAAATGTTCGAACGTGAGTTACATATCTCAGCTTGATTTTCAAGTGGACCAGGTGACCTGCACAATCGTTCATAATATCAACATGGTAACCATAAAATAACAGACCTTCCCCGTAGAGTTTCAACCGCCTGAACGCCTACTGAAATGAGGAGCAATTTGTTGGTTCATTCAATTAGTGATCGCTGCTTAAAACGAAGTAAAGCTGCTCAAAATGCTGTATTGCACTGTAAGTCATGTTGCTTTACCGAAGCCTCTTTTTGTCCTATTTCTGGAATCCCTTTCTATTTCACTACTTGTATATACAAATCGTAAGTCTTAAGTAATAAAATTGACACTGCGTCCCTTTAGACAAGGATCATATCAAATATTACAATAGAGAAAAAGCAGCGGAGAAAAACCGAATCCATTCTCGGGATAAAATACATTTTTTGCGTTGGATTTTTCAGATAAAGACGACACTGGCAAAAAAAACAACGATGCAATTCTCGTTGGCTGAAATTCTCAAGCATAGTAAAGAACCGAAAAGCTCCAGCTAAAAAGTCAACATGCCTGCTACCAACGTTGCATGGCCAGAGCAAGCAACTTTTGTTAGCAAACAAGGCCAGGAGACACGAACTGATATTTAGAGGCCTAGGCATCGCCAATGGAGATAGTTAATGCAAATGACTAGGACATAGCCCTAATGGCGAATTAAGTCACTAGTTAGGTATACATACATCGCGGATACTTGTGTCCAGTGGTACGTCAACGAGGCTAGCAATATGTCTGAAGGTACGCTGTAGGTGGAACTTACCCAAGGAAGGTGATCAATCCCAATTTGAATGTGTTAGCATTACCCCAACTATCAATAATGCTAACTAGTCCTATATATATATATATATATATATATATATATCATACGTATGTACATACAGAGTGGGCTAAACGTTCCTAACGTTTGATGAACAGTCGAACAATCGAACGCACCGTGTACACACATACGCCTGTGTAATAGTCCTTCGACTTGAAAATTCTCGATAGCTGATTTAGATACACAGAGCAGACAGACAATGTCTCTACGTCGACTACGTTAGAACTATGAGACATCTCCGTAAAGGTGATATTTGTTGCAAAGAGTTCTAAGATAGCCTGACACGTAACTTGTGCTTTGATGATCTACGATAAAAATTAGTGATACCTGACAGTTTTCGAATAAGTGACGACACGAAATAGTCGGCGCTACTCCGATCCCACCGTTGCTGAGATTATTATTTTAGTAAAAGTTTAGTTGGACGGCCAATGAAAGCAACCAGGTACTTCGAAAGGATCGATAGACAGAAGGGAAAATGTTGTCTGAATGCTATATGTAACATGTAGGTATAAGCCATTTTTATGATCGTGGCTGTGAGCGGCGTCAAACTGCCGCCCGGTGATAGCATTAGTCTAGCAAAGCATCGTAATACAGTACTGCAATAGACAGTAGATAATATTCGATGCAGTGATCTGTCGATACTGTGACAGGACGATAGCCTACGCTCGTCACTCACTTAATTTTAACCATTTGTCGTAACTTTTGCCAACGATGAATGTAGCACCAATTTCCCTGAGGGGATGACAATCAAATTCTACCATACAACATTTAGCATTTTGTCGCATTTACTTTCGTTTACTTCGTTCTTTTCATACGCCCGTACCGTACAGGGGAGCGTAAGAACTAAGAATGTATCTACACTCACGAGCCGACTGAAGCTTCTGGGACATCGAGCGTAGTTGGTGACAGCTCCTCCTTCTGCATTCAAGAGACGCTTACCTGTTGTCCTTAGGACGTCCATCATTTTTGAACGTCAGCGACATATTATACAATCCGCACTGGCCTTTTCTGCAAAACGTAAACACTTCAACGGTATCGCTCTGTGGTTCCCTATGAAACAGGCGCAAAACTCAAATAGCAGATTTCAACGTTTTTGCATAGCTCGTCTTAATTCAATTTTCAGTTCCGCCGGTACAACACTATCCCTGTTACTCTTTTATCTTTCAATCTACTCGATTCGCCTAGATTGATCGATCCATATTTTGCTATCACTATTATCAGTAGCGGAATCATTATCGTGCGACAACACACGTTACGTATTCGCTGCTGAGTTCTGTGACGTTATTGCCACTGGTTGATTGCGTTATGATTGATTAGCGAATCGTGCGAACAACGCTCATCACAATCGATTTCACTTAGCTCATAGTTAGATGAGGCATAATCCGTGAACGATGAGCTGAAGGCGAGCGTCGGTGCCGATGACGAGCATGACGATTTTTTACTTCCCAACACTTAACTGGTTAATAAGAAATCGACGGAAACCTGTAGACCTCGATCGATTTAGTTCTATGTGAGATATTCTAGCGTACTTGACCGGAAGCCGCAAACAGACGTACCTGGACGAAAGTACTCACTCGCAAAGTTAAGGTCCAGACTGCCATTAGCTGAGAGGTAGCCAATAGTGCTGAACTGTTCAATTCTTTCAGTTTGGCGGCGGGTTGGCTTGGACGTCGAAGAATAGACCTGGCTAAGAGGTCACTCGTTGAGCTTTGCCAGCGACATACACTATAGTGATTTATTACACCGGGGACCGCTGTTATTGTCGATAGTTTATTGTGCTTGTTATTATAACTATTCTAGGCCCGGTGTGGTGCATAGAACTAACTTGGAGATGCTATCTCGCCTGAAACACAAATCAACCAATGATTATATTTCGGGCAATAAAAGCTCGCTAGTTCGTTACATGCCACATATCTATCGACGTGTGTGTCTGAATGTTTGCTATTTCATACCGTTATTGTAGACGTTTTCTCCTCATATGATATTGATCTATATTCAATACCCTAGGATGTTACTATGGCTGTTGTTTTTATTGTTCTCTTGCTGCTGCTGCTGCTGCTGCTGCTGTGTCCTTCACTGTTGCCTTTACTGGCCAAAGGACACCTTGCCGTCGTTTGTAAACCCGCTGATGACAACAAATCATGAAGCAACATCCAATAAAGCGGTTCGTGATAACGTTTATAGTGACTTCTCATCAGTCAGTGTTGTGGACCGTCACATACTTTTTGTCTCTATAAGATCTATTATCGATGACATTTTCTATGGATTTGATTATTTCGTTCCTTTGGTTCGCCCAGTTTCTTCGGTGTCATAGGAAATTAACAGAAAGAAATATATACGTATATGTTAATAACAATTCATTTGTGTATAGCGAAAGTAAGAAAATTGAATCCGACACTCAATAATAGAAGTTAAATTCGGTTCAGACAGAAGAGCCATCTCGTATATGTTGTAACGCCACCAGTTCATCGAACCCGGGCTGATAAGACTAGATTAGAGCGATGTGTGTGTGAAGCAAAAAATTTTTTGTATATACATATCCCTATGACGACGATCTATTACCGACAACACAATTGTCTCTCCAATTTGACTGCTCGTAAATAAACATATTCGCTATCGACTGTTTCGCATTATACTTATCTAGATAATAGGCGGAATAAACCCAGAATTGGATTATTCTCGTTATTAGTATTACTATTATTGTTATTATTATGAATGTCGAGGTTTAGATCAGTTCGAATTCGAGCCCCTGTAAATAGATTTGCGATATCTATGTTTTTCCAATAAGTTGGCTATAAGGCTAACATGGACACCAAAAACCGGAGCAACGGCAAAGGTATAGAAGCGTCAACGCCTGGTCGTCTCTCGGAAGCAAGATTTCTTGCCGGTCTGCAACACAAACATTCGGTAGCTGACTGACTCTTGCCAGAAAGTCAAATATTGTTCACTTCGTTCGTACTCTAGAACAAACCTAGGACCCTACGACGCCCACAATCGGATATAGCGGAGGGCAAGTTCAAGGACTAAGCTAAATAAAGGCAACGCGGCGGAGGATAGTATTATGGGCCGAGGATGTCTCATGATCACTTGGTGGAAATGGGCACAGAAAAACAGCTCGCGTAAAGCTGTTCCTCTAGCCGTTCCCTTCGATGAAAGAAGAAAAATTGCCTATTCATCGTCACTACACTCATCAGCATCATCGTCTTCCTTATCATGCTCGCCTATTGAATCAAAGCCTACAACAAACGTAAACTGCTTGGAGGGTGCTGTTCGAAGTGGCACTGAAGATTCTAAACTGCAACAGCGATACAAAGCGTCAAGCAAAACTTCAATAAAACAGATGCGAATGAGCAACACGAACAAACGCAATGGAATACAGCGGACGAAACGGGCCGAAACGCACAGCGTACTTATTCGGTCTTATAGAATCGGCTAAATTGTGTCGGTGAACAATCGCGGCTCAAAAAAAGGTCAGAAACCCAACGATGGACAGGGCATAGCAATAAATCGAACAAGCAAATGCTAGTGAATCAGCTGAGTGTAAGGATGCCGCCAGAAATGACTGAATAGATAGAAATCGAATTATACGCACACAATACAGCGGAGCTGTGTCAAAGGAATGAAGACGATTATGATGAGGTTAGGTGCTGGCTTCAGTTACGACCACAAACGATTTAACCAAAACATGGATATCATACTAATTCTAATAGAGAAGGCCCTATGCTGATTATGGTGGAAACAGATCATCAGAAGATTCACTTAGAATACTTTCATGGTATTTAGGGCCCTTCGGCGTGCTCTCTGAACCACAAAATTGAGAGCCAGTCGAGAGCACATCAGATCAAATTGCATTGCAGCTTGTTGAAGTTGTGCTGATTCGTGATAACTTCTTCTAACGTTTAAATAAATCTCGGTTACTTTTTTCTTTATTGATTTTACACATTAGCTGAACGGCGACACGGGCCAAGTTGCCGCAAGCTGCAACTTTCCACTCTACATGATGTCGTAAAGGTTCATCGTCTGCAATCGGCGTGAAATTCACTTAGTTTAAGTAGATGGAAAAGTTCCTGATGTCCACTTAAAACTTCTGTTTGGCGCATTTTTTTCGCGAATTAAAGTTAGGTTTACCTCCTGAGCATCAGACACTATACCAGATCTTATTATCGCCAACGAGCAGTTAATTGACATAAAAATGAGGCACGCAAAAGCTGAACTGGCTGAACCTCCGATCGGGCGCGCTCGAATCCCCCTAATAAATTTGTTCATCACCTGGTACTGCCACACTTGCTTTTTACATCTGGCCTTCTTTTTCCTGTAGAATCATATTAGCGCCTCTATTATCCAACTGACTTATTACCCTACTTGCAGATTGTACACACATGCCTGTTCGTTATATCCTCTGTACTGACACCTTATGATAAATGCAAGCATGAGCGACGGTAGTTATTATTATTAAATATAATATTATGTAGGACCCAGCACGCTATTTGTCCGAGCTGTTGACTGCTACATACACGTGATCGTGTACGTGTGTACAGTTCTAAAGTGAGTCTGCGTACTTGACCGACGGATCATCAGGACTGATTTCGTTGGTGTGGATAGGTCGGCTAGAGGCTAGTTGATGAACGTTATAATAACGTCTTATAAGACACCTCAAAAAGGAGCTGGTAAAGCCGAACTATAGGCATAGCGGCTGGAACGAATACGCGGCTGGATTTACCGCCAGCAATAACCGCGGGGCGAATTGCAGATACGGTGACGTCTCTTAGTCGAGTTAGGGCGTATGAGTGTGAAGCGTTGACGTGTCAAGGGAGGGGGCATGACAGAAGAGTTGGATCGTTACGTCGTTTACGCAGATAAATAGTGATGTAAACAACAAATTACAAATAAGACGATTGCGAAATTATGCAATAGCAACAAAGGCATATCCAGCGCAAGTTCATCACTATATTTAAGAAACAAAAGAGGGCTCGTGAGGAACAAAAACGCTACCTGTTTGGGTGCCTCTACAGCTTGTGCCGTCAGTGTCGATGGAGTTATTCGTTTCGTAAGGACAAGCAGTAGGTGGCAGTAGGTCGCCTCCGCCGTTTCTTATCGCTATTTTATCCGTCCTCTGTAGTGGGGCGCTGTAAGCATGTTGAGTACGAAACCCTCGCCGAGGTTCAAGTAGGCATTATATGAGTGTTGGTCACCAGTGGTGCGGCGCTGAATCATTTTAGATCTTAAACAAAGAAAAAAATGGACTCTTTGAATGTGATATAACCGTCAGCCTTTCATATGATTCTTTTTTCCGATGTGTACTTCCTGTCCGGAACTGGAACGCAATCGTATTGATGGTATTGTGTTAACGTTGTGATGATACAATAACAAGTTCGCGCAGCATTGCCGTTGACTCAACTTCTTTCTGTTCCACCTTGCGTGCTTGCGTTTGTCGCTATTTGTCCCGTTTTTCGTTCCGAACTGAGACAATATCTTATGCAATGATGACCGCAGCAGAGACGAAAATTCGCTCTGCGCGTAGCTTGTTTGGTTTTTAAGCATGGAAAAAAAAACAGAGTTCTATCTGTGCATGTGGGGTACGTGCGGAAACAATCACTGGCCTGTGGGCACACTGGTCTTCCATGATCTATTATCGTTTTGTGCGAAGCGTATTCTGTTTTCGCATAGAATCAAAATGCTGCGAGCTTTCTATTGTCATTGACGCCACCATTCTAGCCCAAGTGTTTCATGGTTATGTTTTACATACATAACACACGCCATTTTTCCAACTGAGTATCCGTCTTCATGAAATCCTGTAGTCGCGAGTCAGTTTTCTGCGAGCGTTCTCGGAACCACGACTGACGAAAATGCGCGCTTCAGCTAGAGTTGCTATGGTAAGGTTATTAGAAAGATAAAATCAAAGTGTACACACGGAAAGAAACAGACAAACAAATAAGGAGGAAAAAAATGTCACAGATAATTATATGTGAACAGTATTAAGAAACCAGCATGCGAAATCTAACCTTAAAAAATGCCTTTATTAGCTTAGTTAGGATGGAATAAAGAAAATTTCACGATCTCCTATTCGATTCGCTGACCCCCTGACAGCCCCATCATGCGTCAAATACTTTATACTGCTATAATATGTTATAATTTTCTGATGCAGTGTAGTATTTTATGGCCAGTTACTTCTAAGATGGCTACGATTGCCGAGCACGGTGCTTTCTAGGCAGACGAATGGAAAAAGCAATCCAAATTAGCGTAATGTTTGTTGTTACTGCGACCAGTTATTGCAGGCAGATATTGGATGGAAGCGATTTAACTGACAGGTAAAACTTTTGCATCTTCGCAGACTCATTTGATACAATTTTCTCTGTACACTCAAATCAAGAAGGAACAACAACAGAAGCAGCGATAGCCAGATGTCGTCGCGTTAACATTTTGTGGGGTTTTACATAGAAGCCACTCAAAAGATCTCAAGACCTAGCCGTACAGCAGACGCTGACGCCAGATGGATCTGAGGTGCGCTGAAAGGGAGTGAAGTAATGATTATGAAGATGGTGCTTAGCGCTCGCAGCTCTCGCCCTATGCAACAATTTTCAAGTTGTCTACCCCGCTGTCCAACTAGAAAGAACCTTAGCTCGCTCAAGACCGTGCGCTTAGCGGAGCGACCGTATTGATACTTCTATAACCCATATGCCTGAATAAGCCAGAGAATTAGTTGTCTTTAAGAGAAAACGTACTTATCGGTCTGTCTGCGGCTATTTGCTGATTTTAGTCAATGAGCAGAGCCAAGGCTGCGGCCGGTTTCACCGGGTCCACGGAGGTTTCGTGGCAGAACTTAGACCTGAGCTTAGCATTTCATTGGTCGTGTGTGTTTGTTGTAGATCGGTAGCTTCAGTGCTATAATAGGGCAGAGTCGGTCGACTTGCCCGAGAGAATCACTCGTGTGTATGCTCGTAACAAGTTGCTTTTGGTGGTTTAAATCTTCCTGGCCATTCATCGGGTCGTTGCCCGTCTGATCGAGGGAACTCTTTAATGGTTACTGCCGCATCGACCGCGACTCGCACCTGTTGGCGCGTCATCACGGACACATCCGCTGCTTTGCTCGCAACCTCCGTGCTTATGGTCGTCATGAATCACTCCATGACTGTTGCCATATCTGTTCTTAGCGCTACCGTCCTCGGTGTTTTTTGCGTTTTTTTCATTTCCTTGTTGTTTCCCACATAGTACCTCTTATTAGTCACTTAGCCAATACACGGTCCAAACTAGAGTCGAGTACCTGATCATCTGATGCGGTACACGAGTACATAGAGTACGCCTGACAAAAAGCGTGATATTAGATTTGCAACTCTAGAAGAGGAAGAAATATACTTTTTCAGAAGAGAAAATATACTTTAACAAGTGTTCCACGCACTGGAACTAGCAGAATAAGCTAGACGATCAGGCATTCAAAAGAGACGCCGGTTTCATCAGCTCGAAGGCCATTTTGATGAACAACGTTGATCATACTCATAAAGAAAGATAATGTTTTCCCGTCAATGCCTGGTCTGTTTTCTTATTCAAATACATATAATGGTACCAGATGGTAGTGGTAAGC